ATATATACACACACAATGTCATTGCTCCACACTACAAATTATACTAATACTGTATAGATTAAAATGTTGGATAAGTGAGTACTTCTTCTAAGCACACCTTCACGATAAAACAACCCTGGGCACATCTGTTCTCGACGACAGCAACAGACAGAATGCCTGTGAATATGGCTTCTACATATGAAAGTCTGTATGTACGTATGTATGCATGTGTGTATGTATGTATATATATATACACAATGTCGCTGCACCATTCTACATTTTATACTAATAAGGGATAAAAATGTTGGATAAGTGAGCACATTGGTTTTATAATCACATACCACTCTTATGGTATCTGGTACAGATAGGGTAGTTATATAAAATATATCGTGTCAACATATAAAGTATATTAGATTATGGATCCTGAAAAAATATACAACTTAATCAATTAGCATATAAACTACATCAAATTTAATTTAATAGACCAGGTACAAAAATGTAACAGCATTGCACTTACTTCATTTTGAATATCCTTGTTGGCTCCTGATTGAATGAGAAGTCTACAAATATCAGTATGTCCTTTGAAAGCACTTGCGTACAATGCTGTTGCACCATTCTACATATTATAGAAATATGGATAAAAATGTTGAATAAGTGAGAACTTTTCCTTTGTAATCACATATCACTCTTATGGTATCTGGTACAGATTGGGTACATCATTTATTTTCTAATTATCGTGCATTACTAAGACCAATCGTTCATCATAGGCTAAGCATCCTTAGAACTGTGTATAAATTACATAAACTAAGAGAGATGATCTTCTATCCTCTCTTCATCCTTTCTATATAAAACATGTCGTTGCCCTATTCTACAAATCTTATGGTAACTGGTACAAGTGGGGTACATACATAATAATAAAAAGTATGTTAACATATAAAGTTTATTAAAACAGAAAAACTTTAAAATTTAAGTCTACAAATATCAGTATGTCCCTTCAAAGCACTTGTGTGCAATGCCGTTGTCCCATTCTACATATTATAGAAATATGGATAAAAATAATTCAATAAGTGAGCACTTTCTCTTTGTAACTCTTATGGTATCTGGTACAGACCGGAGTAAGTTAACTTTTTCTCCAATATTTCAGCTGTTTGTAGTAGACGTGTACAATTTATCAGATTTTTTATTTCATTTTTATCTTTTTGCTTTGCTACTTTTCTCATGACCAAAGAAGTATTTATCATTTCTTTCTCTTTGTTCAATCCATTTCACTCTGGATCATACTGAGCTCTTTGAGCCTGTAATTAATAATATTTTTTAAATTCTTTTCGTTTTAGTTTTTTTTATTTTAGTTTTAATTCATCATTTACATCATGGTTATGAATCGATTTTTCATTTTACTGTTATTATTGTTTTTGCTAAGCTTTCTTTTTATATTTTTTTTAATAATTTATGGAATATTCTATAACTTACACTTCAAATAATTCCAATTAAATCATTTTATTTAATGTGTTTTCTTCTATGTTTCAAATATTAATAATTTATTTTATTTCACATACAATAGGCATTGTCATTTAAAGAGTTAGAACTTCCACAGGCTATGGCCTCGTTTTTCGGTAACCTAAAGTCAATTTTCATTGAAATGGCGTGACGATATATTAGAACCAATAGATGTATTTGATATGATGTTATACAATTTATGCTGTTCATAGAGATGTAAACCGGTAGTCTAATCGTTTATACATTTGAATAACTTTTCTTTTCCATTTTTCTGGTTTTCCTTATGCCATATATCTGTTAGATGTACAATATTAATGATGAAAAGTGTTAGTGTGTGAACTGTTTACATTATTTACTATGATTCTTATTCAGCAATTCATATCCCAACCTAGTATATATTTTTTTTCACTTTCAGCGTCAGTGAACAATTTTTGTTGTAGATCTCAAAAAATAATTCCTGGATTTAGTATAATATGGTGCATATACATTAACAAAAACATATGGAAAGCTGGTTAATTAGTCTATAATTAAGGTGGATTCTGAATAATACTTCTCTGCTGAAAGAAGTACCGAAACTATATAAAAAAAATCACCATACCATATAAACTCAAATTGATTTATCTTATTGTGGAAAAAAAAAAAATATGCAGAAAAAATAAATAAAAATCTACTCTTCGGTCGGTTGTCATTTGAATAATTACTTTGTTTATTAGCTTATTTAAACCCCTAACATTTAAAAATGCAGTGTAAAAATTTAAGTTAAATAAATTATAATCTAAGAGAATAATATAGTAACAAACAACGCAGCAACTAATATAAAGAGTAATCATTAATATCATTTAAATTATAATCACATTTATTTTATTGGTTTTTTTTTGTTGTTCTTTTTCGATGATCCAAATAATATTTATTAAAAATATTAAGAAAAACGTACGCATTGGATCCAGATTAATTTTTTTTAATGATATATTTTATTATAGCTATCATGTTCAATTCTTTCATCTTTGTTACATCAAATAGGTCACAAACTTCCAAGGAAAACATTTTCCAATATTTTTGTTATACAATATTATGTAATAAAAAACTAAGGTATAAGACAACATCTGACTTTATAATACATAACATAGTAACATAACGTAATATAGTTCCACAGTATGGGACCCTATAAGCACGGACCTATTAATATATTAATAGGTCCATGCTTTCCTCACCCAAATACTGGAATTTGTGCAAATCATCAGGAAAACAAGCCCTGTTTAGCGCTAGCATTAGGAATTTCTGCCTTAAGCATCTCAGTTAATTGTTATTGCCTCAAGTCAGTGGTTAATATATTAGTAAACATCATCTTATAAATCTCCAACACAGCTAAGCTTGGTGGAGTCTCATTTTAATGAATGTGCCAATTGGTCAAGCTCTTGGTCAGCATAGCGTAAGTGACTTAAAAAACTTCATTACTGTATATTAAAGCTACTGTAGCCTGAGCAATCAAACGTCTGTAATAGTAACAGGTACTATGCATGAATAGTTACACCACCCTTGGGCAATATGGTTACTATCAAGAAAACTTTTAGTTGCTAAATATTTAAACAAAATAAATATTCAACATTGTATAAACCAAACCATAATCATGTTTTTTTTAAATACTGTACTGTTTAATTCGAGCGAAATTAGTAACTAATTCAATAGAAAATGAAAAGTAAAAACGTATTCATTTACATTATAAATATAATAATTGAAATTACTCTGCTAACAAATAATAATTCTCATTAGCTACAGACGTTTAAAATTGATAATAACAATTATAAGAAAATTCAGAAGAAAAGAACAGTGACTACTCTTTGTATACTTAAGAAGTACAAAGGTGTGCTTTTTGAAAGAGGAGGTTTAAACTATTATAATTGTTTTGTATAAACTTTCAAATTTAATACTCTAAAAACATTATATGCCACTCTTAGCTGGTTCATTATATGTTTTATATGCAAGAATAGTATACATTCTATCTTACAAAAAAAAATTTGTGCGGATTTATATTGTTACTAAAAATAGAACAGCGAAAATGTGAGCAAGATAGAATTCGCCTTTTTTTAATTTTTACATCAAGTTTCTATCTAGGGAAGCGAGAACTGACAAAAATATTTCATTGCAAAATTAAGTTATTTTACTTGCCTATTAGTGAGACTTATTGAGTTATTAACGAAGAGAAAATGTTACGGACGGACATTTTTGTTGTTTTGCAGACGGACACTTTTGTAACAAACATCCTAATGATAAATATTAATGATAAAATTAGATTTTTAAAATGGTAAATGACATTTCTTAAATTTAGAATTATAGCAGCCTCTCTAATGAGGATTATTTGTAAATATTTTATGTTCAAGCAATTTTACAGTACATAAACTGACATTCATCATAACCTACAGTAGGCCCTATATAATTACAATAATTTTAGAGAAAATAAGTAATTAAACTAAATAATATTTTAAATTAATAAAACTTTACATTTTTCACAAATAAGTTGAATAAATTTTTACCTTTGGAAAATGATATTGGGATGTAATAATTATCAATGTTAAATTGAAAGTGTAGTTTGATTTACCCATGGTAAATTTAATATACACAACTCCAGAGCATTCAAGAGCATTCTATATTGCCTAACTTCCTCATTGGTCACATTACATCATAATTAACCAATAGGCAATTGCTTTTACAGTACCCAAGATTCCAGAAACTTCCAAATATTACTCTTGGATTCTACATGGTGTCATGTGTTGCTTTAATTACCAATGTGGTTTGCAATTCTAGAATGTTCTAAGTACTAAATATATTACACAAGGATAGGAATGGTAATTTATTACAGTCAACAAACCCCAGCTCCCATCAGATCAATATATAATAATTTAAATGCGTGTGTATATACACAGAATTGCAAACACATCCGAACTTATATACAAATTCAGTGGATGGAGAGGGAATAATTTGTCCTCAATCAAATCTGGTGTTGTCTAGGGATATATACCATACTTTTATTCCTCGACACATCTATTAAAGTATGGTATTTTTGCGATGCTTGTCTGCAATATCTTCAACTAACGGAATAAGCCTAATATTGTATTCAATTAATAATTGAAGATGGTTAGTAGTGGTATGAGGCCATAACTCATGCTTCATTTTGATTTGAACATTATCAGTTTCTTAATTATGGTTGTCGTGAATTACCACGTCAATGATAACTGTGCAACAATCTTTTCCTAAAAGTCATTATGAACAATGTTTGACTATAAAGAGCATTCATACCATCATTCTTCATCATTTTCCTCCATGGTGGACCCGAATTTGAATTGATTGATGAAAATTTATCAACACGATCAACATTTTAAACAATTGGTACAAGAAATAAAATGTAAAATAAACTGTAATCATATTTATTTATTTATTATGGCTTACTGAAATGATCGAATAAATGCTGCGGCACTTATTATTTTTTCGAGGTTTCAGCAGAGCCACCGTTAGCGGCCGTTGGCCGGTGCAGCTTTGCTGTCCAGGCCCACTGGCTCAGGGTGGCGCGCCGCCCGTTAATCTGCCACTAGTTTTTAAAATAATTAATTAAGTATTTATTTTGACAATCAAATCTCCATCAGGTCTATTCATATTTTTTAACTTATATGTATTGACGATGTCCAGGGTCAAAGCCTTTGATACTTATTAATTAAATGATCCAAAGAATAATACTGTACTATTATATATACGGTAATCATAAACTCTAGAGTAGTAGAACTTTATAGGTCATAAAAATATTCATGAAAATAAAATTAATAACGAGCTTTCATCAGTAAATGATCAGCTTTATTTACAAGTTTTGTGGGGGAAAACACATGAATGATACTTGTTGAATGTAAACGTTTCATTTTCATTTATTTATTTTATTTTCTCAAGTAGCATCCCTTTGGGCCAAGGGATATTTTCCCCGTAAGCATCAGCCTCTCGTCGCTACTTGGCTTCAGTGTGGTGCTTATTCGAGAGCAGCAATTATATCTCAATGTGTTGTTGAATATATTTTATTTAGAGTCTGTCCATTGTATTCTTTCCACAAGATCATAAAATACTCTGGGTGAAGAGAAA